GGCCTTTTCTGCCCCCAGAGCCAGTGGGTAGTTGGGACTCCTGATCTTTGGATTCACAGCCGAGCAATTCCCCACTGCATCACCACGGCTTCGTAACTACTCACAGGGATATATACATTTGTTCCTTGTAAAAAAGCGTCTCTCTCTTTCTCTAAAACCTGGTGTTATTTCAAATTACCTTCTACCCTACCATGACAAATACACTAGAAAGTTAATGATATTCACTTGATATCCCAAAGGTACTCCTAACTTTGCCACCGCAAGAGCCTGATGCACGAGGTTGTGGTTGACCGAGAGAGAGCAAGCTTTCCAGTTAAATTCCCGGCACCAAGACAAGCTCTCCCTCCACCCAGCTCAGTGCACAGCACAACACGAAACATGACAAGAGCATCTAGCCTGTCTCGATACTTGCTTATGGTGACAAACCCAGATGCTGAACTCCCCAAGACAATGTCCACAACAGCCGTCATGTTAGTGTCTAGCTGGCAAACCCAAACTCACAGCCACGGAGTCAATTCTGACTCGAGCTGACCCTATGGGGCAGGGCAGAAACAGCCCCTGTGGGTTTCTGAGAACGTAACTCTTTATAGTGTTGAACTGCTGGCCTTCTGGTTAGCAGCCCAGTGAGTAAACACCATGCCACTAGGACAGGTCTTCTTTAAGGACTTGAACTTTGGGGGGAGGGGGTGGGAAGGGGGGAACAGTTTATATAAAACTTTATTTTTTTTCCTTTTTTTTTTTTAGTAAAGCACTCTCAACTTTCATTTTATATACCTTCTAAGTAGGTTCAGAGGTGTCTTGCTAACTTTGGGAAATACAGAAGAAGGGGATTGTTTGGATTTGTTTCTTACATAAAGTAGGTGCAAAGTTAAACGAAATGTCAATAATTTAGTACTCCCCTCCCCAAACCCAGAACTCTTTAAAGTTCTTTTTAAATCAAATGAATCCAGTGCCTTGGAATGGAATCCAGCTAGACCTGCCCGTGTGGGTTTCCAAAGCTTCATCCTTAGGGGAGCCAATGCCTCTATCTTTCTGTGGGGGGCAGGCCGTAGATTTGAACTGCTGACCTCTAGGCTAGCAGCTGAGTGCTTCACCTTTGCACCACCAGGGCCTTGAAATTCAATCATCTATCCTAACTTCTGAAAAAGAAAACTCTCCCGGGCCACTAGAAAGGACACTGGGTCGCTGATCGCAGAATAATGTTGAGGAAAGAAAGCTAACAAGGAACTGAGCTCTCGGCGCTCCATTTTGATAAAGGAAACATTGAGCCGTGCAGAATCCATCGGCAACGTGATGAATATTGCTATTGGGAAGTTACGCAGACTGCCAACGCGGGGAAATACGGACCATCTCCAATCAGCAATTGAAAAATAAAATAACGTGGAAAAGTGTGACTTCATCAGCCTTTGCACAGATCTGCTGAAAATGGCTCTTGGGAGAGAAGGGGTTCACTGTTCCAAATGGGTGCTCTCTGGGGCACACTTTTAATGTGACTGCTGATGTGAACTTCCCTCAGAAATCCACAGCCTACAGATTGCTTAGTTATACCAATAAACTGGGTATGACAACAGACAGAAAATAGTGTGTGTGTGTGTGTGTGTGTGTGTCCTCCGGCTCTACTGAGGGGCATGTCACTTTTAAAGTAAGAAAAATGAGACGTTGGTGTGGAGGGTGGGGGGTATGCAGGACTGCTGGCAGTCTGCATAGAGGACGAGACTGATGGAGAGAGAGGGTTTGGAAGGATCTGAATTATTGGCATGTTTTTACATTTTTCCCAGGCTATCTCACTCCCTTCCACTCATAGGTATTCTGGGTATAGCCTGTAGGACTGGGCGAAACTTCCTCTCCAGGAATTTACAATAGAAAACCTCATTTCTTTCTCCTAGCAGCGGCTGGTGGCTTTTGACTGCTGCCCTTGTAGTTAGCCACCCAACTCGTAACCACTAATCGACCAGTGCTCCTGCCCAGGGCATCTGGAAGAATGTCCGTCCACTCTTTATAGGGATCATCCTTTATTAGTATTCCTGAATCTGGGGGTCGTTTCACACCTCGGGGTGTCCCGCTAGATAGAGTGCGCACAGGCACACGATCTTTAAAACGCACAAAGATGCTAACGCGTTTTTAGGATTTAGCGCGCAGAGAGGAGGTCCCCCAAAAGGCGGCCCGCAGACCCTTATGGTCCAATGGACGGAGGCTGGGCTCTTCTTTAGACCCACTTCTCTAGGGAGGCAGCCCTCCCCCAGTCTGCACGCCGCAGGCAAAGCAGAGGTGACTAACGTTTGGCTACGCCCGATGCATTCCGTAGCCGGCCTTGGCCGCCCAGAAACCGCGGCGGACTTGCAAAGGCAGACTTGGCGATGCCCCCTCCCCCAGGATATCACCTGGGAGGTGGAGGGTCCCCTGGCTGCCGGAAACTCACACACACACACACACACACACACGCGCGCATTTTACTGAATCACAAAAGCACGCCGAGATTTCTTTGAAATCTCGCCCCCACTTAAGTCAAAAAAGAACCAAGTCGAAAGCCCAAGCGGCGCCCACCCACGTTTTGGTTAAACTTCTGCCGCTTCCCAACAGAACAACAGGTACATCACTGAAGTCAACCACCTTTTCCCTTTTTTGGAGACTGAACATTGTCGGTAGAACACGTTTAAAGTTGAGTGAATAAAGATGGGACACGAGAACGACAGCATCCGCCTTTCGAGAATGAGGGCAAGACTACTTTTGTAAAACCATCATCACAAAGAGAAAATAGAAATGCATTTCCCGGAGTCGACATAGAACCTCCAGGGAAGAAAGAAATCAATAGCACAAAAAAAAATTTTTTTTCTTAAAAAAAAAATCAGTAATTTCCTAGACAAGCATAGTTTTCACTTTATTCTGCGAAGCAGGGAAATCAAGAAAACATGCTTCCCTCATGCCCGCTCCGGAATTCACATGAATTTTACCTTTACCTGCGGGAGGTAACTTGGGCAAATTATTGGAATCCTTCGCAATTCCATTTCGGTGTGCTTCAGAACAAAACGCATGCTGGGACTCAGAAAGGACAATGCTTCAGTTCATATCTCTGGCAAGACGTCACCCTGGACGCAGTTTCCCGGTTTTATGGGGATCAGTTGAAACGATTCTTTTGAGAACCAATATTGAACGGTTACTCCTCGGAAACCCTCCGGGGCCGTTCGACGCCATCCCCTTTACAGGCTCGCTTCGAGTCGCCACGCTCCCCGCCACCAGCCGTCTAGGCTTGCGCATAGAGTCGCCAAGAGTCGGAACCGACTGGATGGAAACCGATCAACAACGACTGCTTTTACAAGTTTTGTTTCTGTTTGCGTTCGTTTGTTTTTCTAAATACGCTTAACTCTACTGATTTTCCTGGTGGGAAACGTGGCAAGAATTGATGGTTTTTTCCTTTGACGTTATTGGGTTTTAACGTTTCTGAGATGCTTACAAAAAGGCGCTTGTGCCATCTGACTGCGCCCAGGGGACTGGGGACCAGCAGACAGTGGAGGCGAGTGCGGGTTCCTAAATCTCCTAGAGCGCTGACCGCTAGGCGAGGCGACCTCCGCGCGAACGGCTCGCGGTCTCTGCGCTCCCAGGCTCCGATGGTTCTTGGGGTCGCCTGGCCTGACCGCCTCTGCTACGGAGCGGACCGCAGTTTGGGGTCCAGTTTACCCGCCCCTCCTGGGCACGCAATTCCGGAGCCTAACGGACTCTCGGTCTCTGCAGCCCTGGCCACGCACTTGGGCGACTTTACGGCACCGCGCGTCCTCAGGTTCCAGGCAGCGACTTTACTGACCAGCTGCGCGCAGCGCGCTCGGCGCGGCGGTGGCTAGGAGAGGCACTGTCCTGGGTTCCCAGGGCCCGCGGGCTCAGGGCTCGCAGGGGGGCGAGGGGCGGCAGCGCGTGTTCGCTCCTGGGGTCCTCTTGGACCCCGCTGGCGACGCTCCTGCTCCAAGTCGGCTCCGCCTTCCTTCTCTACAGGCTGCAGTCCTGGGCGATACCGGCCCCGCAGCTCC